GCGGTGGCGGCGGGGGGACTGAGGAAAGGCGCGGACTCAGGCCTGGATCCGCCGCGGCGTTTGGCATGAAAACCACCAAATTAACTAATGAAATAACAAAAGAGAAGTTTATTGGGCAGGGTTTATTCGGCTCCCCCGCGGTGTGAGATGGACCCAGCCGCCAAGGAGGAGGAACGGCCCGGGCGTTTTTTTTTGCCGCCGCGGCCCCTCCTCATGGGCTGGGCTCCCCCGCGCTACAGGCCCCCAGGAGGGCGGAGGGAGGGATGGGTTTTTTCCTCCGTTACATTTTGCCCAGGGGAGGGCGCGGAGCTGCCCCCGCAGGGCTGTTGGCGGGACGGTTGTTGGTTCCAGGCGGGCGGTGCCAGTGGGAGCGCTGGGCAGCGGGCGGGCGGAGCGCCAGCAGATCGCTCTCACGGAACAGGGCTTTAACAACCGTTATCTCACGGTTTGCCAACGGCCATCAAGACTGACGACACCGTTAACTGGGTTTCCTTTGGGTCAGAGCTTGCCCCCGTCCAGTTTGGGCAACAGGGAGTAAAAACCCAAGGCAGGCAGACTCGGCGCTTGCCCAGCCCGCCCTGCTCCCGCAGAGCACGCAGCTTGGAAAAGCGTTTGAATACATGGATGGGGAATTTTTGTGAGCCAACCCACGCAGCCCTGCTCGGTCCCACCGGGGTGCAGCAGCAGGAAGAGCACAGGGGAGCCGGCTGCGGTGCGGATACTCTCACATGTGATGTCCAGGGGCAAATAAGCCATTGCAGGGGGAGCTGAAGGGGAGAGCAGGCACAGAGGGACAAAACTAAGTTGCTGGAAGTGTCAGTACTCATCCGTGAGGGAGCTGAAGTGACTCAGGTGCCAGCTTGGAACAACATTTTGTGTTACAGACCTGCCTGTGATCTGTCCTTTTAATTCACCCCTTTGCAAATTTATTCCCCCTTGAAGCTGGCAGATTGGCAGAAAGCTTTGAGGACACTAGCCTGGCGAAAAATACCACAGAAGGAATTCCTATACAGGAGTAAATTTAATAAAACCACCACCAATTGTTTACTTTAACATAGCTCTTGTTACAGAAATCATAAAAATGGACTCAGTAGCTAACTCATTAGTTCTTTCCCCTTTTAATTGAAAAATACCCCGCTGATTTCAACTTCTACTACGCTAGATGGAGTGTTAAATATTTGCCAGGACAGTACGCCCAGTAATTGAGCCCAAAACAAACACAAAGACAATTCCATCATCTTTCCTTTTCAATGTTACGACTCATTATAATGTAAGTGAAACTTAAACAGCAAGGAACGGTCCATTTGACAGATGAAAGGGGGAGGGAGAGGAGATCCACAGCCGAAATCTTTCCATAAGTCTTTTGAGAAGTGGTGTGAAATACCCCTCCTTTTCCTGCCTCAGAATTCAAAATAAAACTCTAAGCACACACACACCTTCCTCTGGGTTCAGAGCACATGTCCTGCGTGCATGGATGGGATCAGCAGAGTTGGAGTTGGGCAGGTTATCAGTCTGGGGCCAAAAAAAAGGCAAAGCATCCTGACTCACAGCGCACATTGGTCGCTAACGCAATGCACACGGGTATAGCATCAGGAGCTGTGGGCGAGGGGAGGGGTCCGTCACCAGCAATGGCTACACGCACACACAACTGTAGAGGCCGTGGACGTAAAGGAACTGTAGGAAGAGAAGAAACCCAACTTCTCTGGTAAAAGCCTTCCCCAAAAAAAAAAATTCACTACACCAGCACACTCATCCCCCACCCCATCCCAGGGAAAACAAAACAAAACAAAAAATAATCAAACTGAAAGAAAATGCACAGCAAATAGACATAATCTTGAAGATTTTTAAAGAATAAATATTTTTTTGTAATTAAACATTATGCAAACACGTGCCACGCTTGCTCTTTGTCCATGCATATGCGCTATATACAACTTTGAAAAATACTGTGTTGTCCTCTTTTTGTTTTAAAAGTCATATACAAAGGTTTTTTTTTTTTCCTTGCTGTGTACCCCCCCCCCCCCCAAGAATCATCATTACAACAAGCCAATCGACATTCATCCGTGTACTTGGGTGGCAGAGAGGAGGAGGGGGGCGGGAGAGCCATCCCCCCCTTACCAAAGAACATCAAAATGGCTGGTTTGGACATGAAAAGCAGTGTCGAGAAACTGGTTTAAATTTCATCTGTACTACACACAGGAAAAGAAAGATAGAAAAGAAAAAGGAGTCGGCTTGGAGAATGAAGCTACGTTACAAGTTAAAGTTGGAGGGTTTTTTTTTTAGTGCGTCTGTCACACTCTTATTGGCCGCCTAGAATACTGTTGCACAATGGTTTATCTACCTTTTTTTTATTACAATATAATTTACTTAAATTTTCTGTTAACAAAACAGAATCCCGGTACTACAGACCAGCGGTGTAACAGGCGTAGTGCCTTGTCTGTGTTTGATTTGAATCGCATGAGCACTCTAGATGGTAAAGGTTTCAGAGTTCGTTTTATGCGGGGCCAGTCTCAGTCCTCAATGTACTCCCACAGGTCCTTCTCATAGCCTTCATGCACGTGCTGCAACAAAACCCTTCGTCGACTCTCGCAGTATCTGCGGCAAAGAGGAACAGCACGGAAAAGGCAGGTTAGGAACCACGGCTCAGCCCCAGCATTGAGCAACACAAACCTACACCAAGCCTCACTTCCAGAAGAGAAGTTCCCCCGAGAAGGGACTTTGTATTTGTAGCCTGTTAACAGCACTAATTAAGACTCAGTTACTCCAGTCACTCAACTCCAGGTCTCTGGCTGAAAAAACAGCATGCAAATTTATAGTTTCCCATGCAAAAGTATCCCCAAAGCCCCTACAGCTGAGAAACCTCCATTAATAACTGAAAAAGGAAGAAGCAGCAGCTACAATTTGCAAAAGCCAGAGCATGGGTTAGCAGTGACACCCAAAATGGGATGAAGCTCTCCTCAAACATGGGTGGTGCCTACTCGGAGCCATATCAGGACAACAGAAATCCAGGAGCCAGCTGGGCAAAACCTTGGGACCACTGACCCAGTTTTACTCCCCTCCAAAATCCTGGTGGAGATGGAAGTGGTGAAGCTGGCTACAAAGGGTTACTGGTCTGGTTGGAGTGCAAGTTCTGCCTTGCATCACAACCCCTGGGTCTCAGAGGGGCACCGCGCCCTGCAGGGCCTTCCCACCTACACTCATTTAAACAGACAAAGCTGCAAATAAAACTGATCCCAAAGTTGGGTACAGTCCTACCAGGATCAAAGATACTGAGGAAAAGTGATATGAAAAGATGCCAAGTTCATTTTGGGGGTGTTAGCCAAGATAAAAAGCAAGAAACATTTAAAGTATCCAAAAGCAAATTCTAAACAAGCGGCAGGCATTTCTGGATTAAACCCCCTCCAGCGGCAATGCCAACGTCTGCACCATCTTTAGGCAGGCGGGGGACAAGACAAGACTCAGTAACACCTCCCAAGGTCCCGGGCACAGCTGTGTAGCCAGTTCACAGTTTGGCAGCGCCCAGCCTGGAGTGGTGTGTTGTAACATGAGAAACTGGAACCCAGGAGCCAGGAGCCAGCTGCCGTGTTACCAGTTCCTGCTGGGAATTGTGTGGTTCAGTTTTCAGGCACACACATCAGCCAGGACATTCAAGGGGCTCTCGCAGCTGGCAACAAGGCCTGCTCGGCAGTGGCCAAACCCCCCTCTGCTCGCTCAGGCGAGGTGCGCAGGAGGAATCTCTCAGCAGAAAGCTATCCTTGATCACAATGCACGCCAACACGCAGGCAGAAATTCCTCACCTTAACCTGCAGCCCTTATGCTGCTACCATTCAGTATCTGATCAGACCAACAGATTTATCTGAATAAAACGGTTCTGGCTCTTCTCACTGCTATCAGCTGTTGCAACAGAAATCATCATACACAAAGTCCCATTGATTTTCTGAAGCATGTGATAGCAAACACACACAGTTTCTGCTTTCCCAACTTCAGTTATTTTGCTGCTGGGGGTGGGGGTTTAATCCTGTTTTCTAGAAATGTCTTTGCAAGCTAAGAGACTGAAACAGCTGAAACCAAATTAGCTAGGAGGTCAGTTCCTGTAATATCCCAGAGCTCTTTAAACCCACCACGGTAACATCCTTGTTCCCAGTCTTGCATCGGTGCACCATAAGCAGTACACAAACAGCACCGTGCAGGACATGATTAAGACATGACTGAACAAGTTAATTAGGGACCTGCATGGGCTTGACAGATGCATACTTTCTTCCCAGAAACACGAAGGCAGGTTTGGGATACTATATTTCCAGGTAATTCAGGCTATATTAGGTTTTAATTTCTTCTGGATAGGTGTTACCATCCCTAGAAGAGCATCCAGTTTCAAAGGACTTGAGTGAACAAGCAGCTTGATCCGAGACACCCTTTAAGGCCACCATTAAGTTGGTAAATCACAAAATGTCTCAAAAGAGAACATGTCTACTAAGTCTTCTCCAGCCCTAGCCATGCTGCCAGGCTATGGCAGAATGGGCCACAGGCCCACCAAAGCTTACTTCCACTCCCCAGAGTCCCTCCATCCAGTTTCAAAGGACTTGAGTGAACAAGCAGCTTGATCCGAGACACCCTTTAAGGCCACCATTAAGTTGGTAAATCACAAAATGTCTCAAAAGAGAACATGTCTACTAAGTCTTCTCCAGCCCTAGCCATGCTGCCAGGCTATGGCAGAATGGGCCACAGGCCCACCAAAGCTTACTTCCACTCCCCAGAGTCCCTCAGTCACTACGGCTCACCCTACTTCGGCTCCTTTTCAGGCTAGGCATAACAAATTCAGTGACTCTGGCAAAATGCCTCAAAAACGCAAGCCATAATCCTGTGACTCATCCGCATTTACAGCTTTGTATTTTTCCACTGTGCAGAAGCGGTTCCCCTAGGACTGTAAAACGCATTGGCATTTGTGTCACCTGGACCCTGGTTCTTCTGCTCTCCTCCCCAGCTGGGCAGGTTGCTCCCTCCCTCTCTTCTTTAAGGACAGCTTTTCTACACCCACCTCTTGCACAAATGGATCCAAGAGATAAATAAAAGAGCTGATTGCTCTCTTATGGCAACTCATCCTAGGCCGAAGCTGTCAGCTTGGAACAATAAAGCCACTCCTTGTTCTTTGCCCCTCACTATGCAGGTCCCACATGCTCCTTCTGTGCAGGAACAGCAGTGTGTGAAAAGCCACTGCTTTTGGTCACAAGATTTTTCCATTATGGGACTGAATCTTCTAGCTACGGCTCAGCAGAGCAGATGCAAGGCAGAGCTGGGAGCCTCCCCCTGCAGGCTGTCACCTCCCCCGAGGGCTGGTCCCAGCAAGGGGACAAAACCACGCTGCCAGCATTTGTGTGAGGGCTTCACCGCTGATGACTTCAGGGGCTGGCGCAGGACACCGCTGCTGCTGTTCTCAGATGCCCAGGGACCAGCTGATGATCACAGTGTATGGCAGAAGGCCAACAGCAAACAGCTTCCCAGGGACATGGCTCTGGAGAAAACTGTAGCTTGGCAAGTACACATGCCATTACCTGTCACACAGGGTGGCAATACAGGTACTCGGGCAGCTTTGAGACAGAGCATTATTCAAAAACAAACCTGTACTTATCCTGTACTTTCTGCTTTATGTCTTGCAGCGAATCTTGGGATATATCTCGCTCAAGGTACCCAGAAAGCACCTCTGTAGCATTCTCTAAGTCTGCTTGGTTATTCTGCAAAGACAAAAAAAAAAAAAAAGGAAAGTAGTATTTTAGGAGGAAAGGAAAGGAAGAGACTTTTTTCTTCAACTGAAATCAGTATTGAAATAAAAAGCAGGATTAGATATGCAGTGTGTAACACTCTAGTAACAAGACTGAAAAGGCTGAAATGTCTTCATTTGATCAGATGATAACGTGCCTATCTACCAGCAAGTCTTATGTCCTCCTCAACCCACGATATCCTGGCAAGCCTAAAAAAATCCTTTCCTTACTAGTGGTACAGCATGGTAGGAGACAATTCATCTCCCATTCTGTCCCTCACCTATTTTTTTTTTTTACCAGCACTGGCAAAGCCCCTACTGACTCCTGGTCAATGCAGAGCAGCATCAGAGCACAGCTTTCACCACTGCTCAGTAGTTCTGTGCACCCTTTGCTGAGCACACAGCACAGAACCATCCTGCTTAGGTTCTACACCATGACCAGCAAAGGACTGCTCTAAATCATAGTCGATAACAGTTTCAATTGTGAAGCAGATTGGACCTCCACTTTTAGACCTTCTGCTGCAATTTTAATGGTAGTACCCTTGGAAAAAAGCCAGCACCCGGGAAAGTCAAAAAGCCTGATTTCAGCTTCAATGCCACCTTTGCCAGTTCAAGGAAGAACCTCACTCCCTTTGTTTCAGAGGGCAGCATCTTGTAACTCTGCTTCCTCCTCCAGCAGACAATGCTGCACGTTGCTAGCAGGGCCTCTAACTTTTGCACAACAGAATATTGTGACTATAATATAATATAAGTCACTATTGTGACTATATATAAGACTCACTTGAGTAAAACTGGGGACAAGAGCTTTTCCAAGCATTAAATCTCTATTTTGCCTAGCTTTGTAATCCAAACTCCTGACAATCATGTTTTCTCCTACCTCAAAGATAATGGACTGATTATTCTTTTTGAGGTAGAAGGCAAAGACGTAAGTGTACATGAGTGTGGCACGACACTGGCAGAGGACGTCGACCGCTTTCTTCAGGAACTGCACCTCGATCCAGGACATGTTGTGCTGCTGCATCTCCTCCATTTTCTGCTTCACCTGAGCATAGAGCTTGTGCTCAAAGCGCAGGCTCTGCATGTGGTTCATATAGCGGTTGCAGTAGAACAGGTACCTCTGCAGGGCTGCTCTGGATCGCTGTGTTAATTCCCATTAGGAAAAAGAAAACAAATAGTTAAAACAAAGTAAACCCTTCACGAGGCTCTTCCTGACCATGAGAACAAGCTTCCTTTCCAAAGGTGTTTCCTCTCCTCTCACATTGGCCAGATTTAGACAGCACGCTTCATGCAGCACTGTTAACCCTGACTTGTGTGGAGACGAGAGGCCAGGCCCACAGCAGCTCCTGCCATGCAGGGGACTTCCTAGCACAGCTGTGACACCCTCACTCCCAACCTTGAAAGTAAATAGAATCCCATTGCTAAAACCCCATCGGTTTTGAATTTCAGCCTCTCAGTCTCAAGTTACAGGACTTAAAGGCTTCCAGTGTCACAACAAACAGCGAGAAGCACTTTTTTTTTTGTTAATAAGGAATTCTAATTAAACAATTACCGTCCTTGTGTTCAGAGGGCAATTTCAGGTTGCCTAGGCCACGCTGACTATAACGCAGGGGAAAGACACTGTGTTAAGTAGTACAAGAGAACCAACGTGACTCAATACACAGCCATTAATCTTATTCTCACTGACAGATCAGCTGTAAATATTGACAACATGGGCATAGATAAACTTGTATGTTGTGGTTGTACAAAGCTAGGACATCTCTGCCAAAGTCATCCTTGTCTGCAGGAGGAGGGGCTGCAGAAAATACTTTGGTTCTTGGCGGCTTTAATGGTACTTTGACAGATGCAGGAAATGGATTTCTGCAAGCTGCAGCACACGGCATGCAAACCCTCCCCATTAAAAAGGGGCTCGGCTCTATTCATAGTCACAAAACAGTTTAATGTAGCTGCAACTTCACCCACAATTTCTTTTATGTCAAGACTCCAAATACAGTTATTTGAATTACAGCAGTCTGGTTTATTTACATTCAAGAGTTCTGCTGTTTTTAAACACCTCAGGATTTGCATTAAGAACTTTGCGGTAAGGAACACTTGATGGAGGATGTGGGTATTGTTGTCTCAGACCCGTGGCATTACGATAACTTTGCGTGAAGAGCTGCTACAACACAGGCAAAAGTCAGCATGACAGGTTACAACTGAGTTAACACGTTCTTTAAATTGGGTTAAAATGGCTTGGAACTTTTTTCCTGGCATGAGGCAAGAGTCCAAAGCTGCAGGGGAACTTAACTGTCTTTTGGATTTGTGCCCAAATCCAGGAAATGCTTCAGGGCCAGTTTATAGGTTCGCAGAAAGGACGCCACAGGGTTGGTGATCTCCCTTATCACCAAACATTATGGACTCACCTCCTGTGCATCCCTTGCTGCCTTTGCATCATCCTCATTGTAGCGATTACAGTTGTACCTGTAACAGGGACACCAATTCCACAGATTTCAGTCTAAATCAAAGCCATTTGCATCACAGCTTCCTTGCCTTCCAGCAAGTCACGTCCCTGAACTCACCAGGCAGATCCATGGGGCTCCCAGGGGCCCAGACACACCCAGCAGAACTCCGCTTTGCAGTTCTGGTTCCGACAGACCATGTGGTTGCAGCCCCCGTCCTTCTCGATGGTGACGTGGCATTTCGGGCATTCCTGTTCACAGCACAGAAAGCACCATTAGCAGGGAAAGCACAGAACCCACAACAGTCTTGTGAAGTTAGAAGGGTTCCCAAGGCAGTAAGAGATAGCATGTCAAGTGAAATGCGTGACTTACTTCTTCCCTTTGATCACCAAGATCCTCTTACGAGTCAGGACTTAAAATATTTCCAAAATTGGAGCAGCTAGATAGGAAAACAATCCTACGGAATAACGCATTTTATCTACGCTGCTATCATAGTGGTGCACTGCATGGGTAATATCATGACCTTCTCCAGAATCACAATAGTAGTGACAGTCTGTAACAGCCCAGGAGAAGGCATCTGGCTTTCCTCACCATCAAGTGTTCAGGCCACTTCAGTACTCCAACTGAAAAATCCTAACAGTAAGCTGGTATCATGCTGTTATCAATCCAAGACACCTGGAGTTGTAAAATGCCATCCAAAAAGTATCTGAAAATGTGCAGAAAGAATGTAGCGTGTTTCAAAGAAGCTTCTGTCAGCTAAAGAGACACTTCTCCTCCTGGGGCATTTCCATGTTTCCCATCAGGTCCCTTTTTTCCCCTTCATGTGACACCTCAACTGAAGAATTTTCTACAAAAGCCCATGTGGGGCTTCCCTTTCAGGTGCGAGGCCTTTGACAAATACGAGGATATCAAAGAGCAGTACGGCACAGGGAAATCTTTGGGGAATAGTGTTGGGTTTTTTATAACACCAATATCATTCTCATACATCAGCAGCATATGGCCACTTCCTAAAATGATATTCAACTCATGTAGAGCATAAAAGATTATTTCTGTAGTGTCCCAGTAAGTACATGAAGCCGAGGTTACAAGAATATACTAAGCTGCCTCTACAAGTGAAGGAAGCCAGTCCAACTCTCTTCTGCCGCTTGTTCCTGCCCCTGTGGCACTTCTCTTGTGCCAGGACACAATGCAGCTGCACGAGAGCTGGGCCAAGGAACACACTGGGTTAAAATCAAGCAGCAAGTACAGAGGAAGAAAACCCCAAAATAAAACCAAAACCGTTTTAGCCTGGATCAGTTCCTCAGTCCAGCTCATTACAAACCACACCAGCATTTTTGAAGTTTTTGCAGAAAATGGTTTTATCTCAAGGCCTGGGGGGCTGATCAAGATGCATTCACTTCCAACCTAAATCACTTCACAATTATGGTCTTCCCAGCAGTGGCACAGCACTTCATCGTTTCTTCCTCTTCAAAACTCCTGCTTTGGTCTCACTGCCTAATCCTGAAGAGGAAGGGTTAAGGACGGGGTCGAAACAGGCAACACCCCACACAACCAGCAAGGTTTTTCTGAGCCATTCCTTTGAAAGGAGATGCTATTACAGCACTTCTTTGGAGAGTGCTGCCCTCCTGTCCAGCCAAGAAGGGCAACATTCCCATCCCATCAACAGGTCACACTAGGGCTTGGCCTGAATAAGAGGACAAAGCTCTGTTTCTAACCAGAAGACCATGTCTGTCATGTAAACAAAAAGATTCCCCAGGCTTGGGGAATTACTCCAGTAGTTTGATGAATGTTTCTTTCTGCAGTCACACCTCTCCTCCCACCCTCACGCTCTGTCAGTACACTGCACGCTAGATGGCTGCTTATTTGCTCTGGTTCAGTTGGGGGGGTGGGGGCTGGTTCAAACAGTAAGCAAGCACAGAAGGGGATTTTTCCAGACCTGCCTTCCTCTCCATCACCTGTGTTTGTTCTACAAACAGAGTAACTATACTACAAATAAAGTAAACAAAGCACAGTCGCTCCCTTGCTGGCCCTCTCGGGGGGGGACAACATCAAGATGTCCTCTTGGGCTGTCCATAGGATGGATACTCAGCTAGGTAAGCTTGTTCCCAATTAGTCAGTCAATGCAGTTCTGTGAACTTCAGAGTCAAAACTGGTCTCTCCTTTCTCTCCAGTACCCAGTGCAGTACCTACTTCCCTCTTCCAAGCAGCCCTCCTCCCTCTTCCAATCCTGCACCAACACATCAGGACCCAAATTCAGGTTTATCCCATGACTGTCCTTCACAAGAGTGAGCAGATCCCTGCTCAATTTGCTCATCAGCCATGTTGCACTTCACTACGAACAGTGGCCCTGCACGCCTGTGACATCATGACAGCTCCCCTGTCACTCAAACGCTGACCCTGGGGCACACAGCAATGACTGGTTTTTCAAGAGAAGATGGTGGTTGCAGAGCTGTTCAGTTTCTTCCAAGCACATCTCATCTGATGAGATGCCGACATCCACGCGCCGTGGTGGAAGACACGGCTAATCCAACAAACAGCTGCAGTGATCACTCCTGCTTAGGAAAATCCCACAACTGGAAGAAGAGAGAAACCGTTCCCAGATGACCTGCCAAGCTGGGGAGGTGCAGCAGGACACGTCCTCACAACAAGGATGTGGGGCCACCCTCATTCACAACTAGGCTCAATTAGGAGTACTGACAGTCTGCTCTCCTGCCTTTGAGGATGAGACCAAGCTCTTCAGTGGCTCAATACTGCACAGTGCTTAGCGCTTCTAGCCCTGTGATGCAAACTAGAACAAGAGCAGCCTAATTACAGCCCTTTTATTACAGAGAATGCCATCCTTTTCAAGCCTTTATACACCTGTCAAGCCAAGCACAGGGAAGACAGATTACACAGTAAGCTCTACAGATCGATGAAGTTGTGTGAAAGCGTAGAAGTTGTGTATTATCAAAAATTAAGGAAAAGCCATGAGAAGAACATACTAAAGAAATGCTGAACACCAGCGGAAAGAAAAAAGCAGCAACTACTCAAGCCACCAACGCAAGGAGTGGGAGAGATTTATAGATTAAGGGGGATAGGGAAGGAAGATCTTACTGAGAATTACGGCTACACAACAATATAATAGCCAGCAAACCAAATTAATAAGCCATTAGATTACTCCGCACGTTATCTGTCATGCCGTGATGCAGAAGTGACCTCATTAACATTGTTCACTCTGAACAATTCGGTGTTGTGCTTACACACTGCACTTTGAAACAAAAGTCCGGGCAAACCTGGCAAAGGAGAACAATCCCTATTTTGTTGTAAAAGGCTGCATGTACATAAACCACCATACACCTCAGCTGCTGTTTTATGAACAGGAGGCTAAATAGAAACATTTTATATTTCAGGGCAGGTGAAACAGATTAGTCCTCTCTGGAACTCCTGGAGGCAACTGGTGTACATCAGCCTCCCGGCCACATTCACAGTGATGCCTTCACCTACAACCCATCCTAAAAAAAAAGAAAGAATCCTCAACTATCACCAGGATTTTTTAACTTTTCACCAAAACCCAAAACCACTGAACTTGATTATGGTTAGCACAAAACAGCACACCATGACAACACCTAGAGTCATGGAGCAACGCAAGGTATTTTAAACACTTGCTCATCTGAGAGGAAAAGATGGCACTTTGACATCTGAGGAAAGATGCTGTTTGCAGCTCTGGCACAAAACTACGCTGGTGAGAAATGAAAGAGCAAAGTTCGATGCTAGTGCCCAGGGAGGATCTAGCAGGCTGCCAGAATTTCCACGCATTAGAACAAATATAGGACTTCCAGAAAGTACAGAGGGAGCGCGTGTTCAGACATTAAAAACTGACCTAAAAGGAACAGAACTGGGTCTGTGCCATTTTATCTCGCTTAAAGGAGAAAAATGGCCAATAGCTTTTTTGGAGGAAGAAAATCTGCCTGTGTTATACATCAGGCATTCAAGCCCTGTCTAGCCCAGAAGATAATGAGATGGTGACATGCCAGGAGCCAAAAGCAGTAAGGCAGGGGCATTTTTACTATCAGATGAACACCTTTCATTAACACCAATTTAACTTCAACAACAACAAAAAAAAGCAGTGCCTTGGGTGAAGACCAGCACCGTTAGCATCTTTGCTGTTCTTCCTTTAGCATTCTAAGACGCAGAAAGATTAACGTCATTGAAACTCAGGTTTGAAACAGGTTTCCCCTCCTCCTTTTCGATAGCCTTGATACACCTTAAGAGCCCAAAATAAATGTACAAACCCAAGTTTTCTGAATTTCTAACTCCTTTGAATGTCCATTTAACAAAAGTAATGGATCTATGCAGTTTCTTTATTCACAAAGCCACACAAACCAAATACCTGAAACCTGACTACTTTAATTCAAGAAAGGAACTATTTAAGGACCAAGTCTGTACATTAAACTGAAAAACAAAGAAATGTGCAAAACCTTGGACTATTCGACCCTTCTCTGCAAGAACCTGAGAATGAAAAGCTTGATAAAGAACTTGCATTAGTTTATCTCAAATGTAAGTTAATTTAGTGAAGCTGAACTCATATGTGGAAGTAGCTTAAGTAAAAGGCCATCTACTCCAGCACACTCCGCTGCAAGGGCTGTATCTTTTGTGTAAGCAGAAAGAATTTAGTGCAGGTCTCCTAAGTGCAAATAAATGAATGAAAAATTAAAAAAAAAAAATGGAAAGCACAGAACTCACTACTCAAATCTCCTCATTTTTCATTCAGACCATTCTACATAATTCATCAAAAAATGCATCACATCACTCCAGTTTGGGAACAGAAAGCAATTCAGCCAGGTTTCACTTTTCTATTCCCTCATCCAACAATTGCCTAATTTTCCTCTCCTATTCTGTCTCCCAGGGCAAGCTGGAACAAATGTATCTCACATTCTCCTGCTGCAAAGGATTAGCCAGATTTCAAGCCCACACTCCAGGTGGACTGGTATTTTTCTCTTATACCTTCATCTTGGTAAGACAGTAATTTTTCCTCCCTGAATGGAGACCATATGGGACAGGGCTGCAGATCAGCATCATGCGTGGAGGACTCAAGAAAGCACTTTTCAAGAGCTAGAAACTTTAATGGAGACCATGGTAGCAATGGACTTACTTGGAGAGTTTTTCCCACTGAAAACAGGGATTTTTGCATCTGATGGTACCTGATCCAATTCCCTTTAGGTTCTTCAAAATGAAGAAATTCAACACCAAATTTGGGCTCTGACTTGCAGTCACTGAAGCAAACAGCTGTGAAGGCACAAGACATCCCTCCCCAAACACGACTGCCCCGTTTTCCTGCTAAAAATAGTACAGAGACGGAGTAAGGACAGATGTATTGCACACTCCAACTGTGCAGTTCCTATCCCAGTGTATGGCTACAACCTCACACTATGGCAGGAAAGCATTTTACTTGGCTCCCCTCTGAACAGCAGCAGGACTGCGTCACTGTCAGACAGGCACTTGGGTTCCTCTGTGCCTTTGGCCAAGGGCCAGCAGGCAATTCAGGCAAGAGGAGGTGGTGGCTAGCAGCCCTGCAGCTCTGGGCGGGCTGATCCACTTCTCCAGAGGCTGTGAAGCTCTGATTGCACATGTTCCAGCAGCCAGCACTGCTCACACTTCATCAATGTAGCAGCGTGAAATTACCACCTTCCACATCTTGCTGCCCACAAGAAGGCAGAGATCATTACAAGGGGTGGGTTACGTTTCCTGCCAACTGTCCCCTCAATTGAATCTAGCGTCAGTTCAGAGAGAGAATTGCGATATTGTCCTTCAGTTAATTCAATTGATATGGATACCACAAGACTCCAGGACAGTTGGCTTGCTCAAATGTCTGGTGTAATTACCCTGATGTTATTTTTCTTCCCGTTCCTGCTGTACAGCCTGGGCTCCAAAGTATTTTCTTGCTGTAGGAGCATCTCATATGGTATTAGAGGAAGTGGCTTCGACAGTGATGTTCAAGGACAACAGCTCTTCTGCTGCTGACACCAGACTACAGGAACTAACAGATAAGCTGAGCTGATGCCAGCATGGCTTGGCCATGCTCACTTCTCCTCCTCATTGTCCTCTGGATGGGTGTTTCCCACAAAAATAATTCTTCTTATTCTGGCCATTCAATACTATTTCTGACAGTCTGAGCTATGCTTTAAATACCAGCCCATCCACTAGCACTGCTTCTACCTGACAAAGTCTAGATCCTGGTTAAAAAAAAAAAATTACCATCTTCACAATATTTCTGTCTATGCCTAAGTCTTCAGGCAAGCAAGCTGCAGAAACCATCATCTTCCTGTCTGAAAGAGAGACCAGTAGCTTCCTATTTCTAATCAGCCAACATTAGTGGCACATTATTCATGTTTGGTCTAGATAACATGTACACATATACCATTTCAGACTTTTTAATGGGCACTGAATCCTGCAAGGGAAAGATTAACATCATAACAAAACCCAGCAAGGAGAGCTCAGATCTTGGTCTTTAGCAGCATATGCCAAGGTAGTGGCAGGTAGAAGATGGGGAGCCCTAAGATCATAAACAAGATCACACCCCTGAGGGGCAGCAGCAGCTCCTTGTCTGGCTCAGAGAGCTTTGTCACAGGCAAAAAATAGGGCTGTGGCCATTCTGACATCCCAAATATTTGATACCCAAGGCTAAAAGCTGCTTTGCATGTGCTTACACTCAGCCCTTTCCAAGATACTCGGCTACTCCTCCTCAGGTTTAACATGAGCAATACCTGAAGACCAAGCAAATGTTGAACAAATCTGGTTCAGTTCTTGAGCTACAATACATCTTTGAGCACACCCATGTCAGAAAAAGCCAAGTTCACTTTATTGAGCAACATTCAGCCTTCAAGCAGGGACCACACAAGGCTCAGCCCATGAAACTGAAAAAAGCAGCCGAGACTGCACAATTTCAGCCTGATTTTAACTGTGCGTTTCAGCACTATGGGTGTTTCTGCTTTCACCATAATGCAACATTCCAGTTCAATGAAAAACACAGAGCCAGCCCCAGAAAGAAGCAGCCACTGCTGCAAACAATACCACTAACCAGTTACACAACAGAGCTAAGAAAACAAAGCAGCCATTTCCTCACACTCTCCCCACCTTCTTCCACCCTCCCGGCTCAGCGGTCATGAGACCCAGGTCTGCTCCTAACCCACCCCACGGCATCTGCCACTTTTGTTTTCTTGCCACCATGCCAACCTTTGTTTTAATTCATCCCAAACTGAACACATGCTGAAGTTTCAGGCAAAGTTGGGCTAGCTAGAACGAAGACATTTACATAATAAAATCTTAACAGCTGTTCTACCAGTGTCTATCTGGAATCCTGCCCAGCAGAAATGAACAACTCCTCAAGAGACCAATCCAGGGGATTTTAAGGCAGATGTAAATTATCACAGCCAAATCAAGCCACAGGTGGTGTTAACATGTTTCACACCCTTGGAGTGAGGAACTGATTTGCTTAGGGAAGCCATCAGTGCCAGACAGGAGCCCAAAGACAAAACTCGAGCTTCCTTTGAGTCTCCAATTAACTCTTTTTTACAAGAGCAAACTTCACTTAACCCAAAGAACCTCACCTGATTTGAGGCAGTAACACCTATTTGCTCTTCAAACAAGAGTACTTCAGTGTACTGTGAATTTTAAGGCTTGCTCTTAACCAATGACAGGCAACAGAAAAAATAATCCTAGTACAGAAGAATTAGGCTGTCCTTTTCATCTGATAAGTCTATGTATGAGAAAAAACCTCACCTTTGTGTTTGCTGCAATCCAATTAGAAGTTTCACTGTCATCATCACACTTCTTAATCCATTTCTTTAACCACTGTTAGAAAAATGAAGAGAGTTACATTTAAATAGAGGAACTGTAAATGTTCCCAAGCTGCTTACATGAAGGTAAGGTACACGCAACCACATGGGAATATGGGGGGGTGTTGGTGCAAATGGCAACTAATTTATTGCAGACATTTTCTGCAGCACCATCCTGATCCAGCGAGCACAATCACTAAACACAAACACTTCAGCAATGAAGTCTGCAGTTCTTAAGTTCAATTAACACAAGCTTATCACAGGACTCTAATAATAATAATAATAGAGGACACTAACAGTGATCTGCAGTCAGACCCTCTGTGACGCCTAGCTTTACATCAAGCCAAGTTTTTCCTTAGGCTTGCAATGCTCACCTTATGCCTTTTTTTTTTTCCTCCCCTCTTTGACCCTTACTGAGAACATGGCTTTATCAAATGAATGCAAGTAACAAAAGCAAAAGACTGCTCACACCTGTTAGATAACCTGACCACATCCAGCCTGGAAAGACCAGCTAAACCATGCAAAACTTCTGGTGAGGTTTCCCTCCCCTCTCCCCAAGGAAGCTTTTTTGCATTTGTCACTAGGACGCAGACTGTTCTGTCCCCAAGGCATGAAACACGTCAGTCTGTGAGCTCTGCACGGGCCACAGGATCCCAGGCTTGATTACAGCTTTTGACAGCTGCACGGCCAGTTCTAGAGTTCACCGCACAGCAGCAGGTCCCAGGACCAAATTAATTCCTTCAGTACAACAAACCACAAGCTGCCAAAGCACTGAACATCTACAGAAACACATAGTACAGGAATGCTTGTTGTCAAGTGAAGCATTCACTTCTGAAGCACCTTCATTCCTCTTCAGGGGGTCACAGCTGTAACAGCCGCCTCCTCCAGACATTTCCCCATCTGGCTGAGGCACTGTTCCTTCACAAGGTCCAACTTTGAGGCATCCTAAAGGCATCCAGCATGATTTCACCGCTTCTTCTCACACTATGATCTAAACAGGTGAACTACTATGCTTCTTGGAGTCAACAGCTCAAAGCTTGTGCTTTATTTCTACATCTTGCACATAAATTGATTTTATACTTTTTCAAGTCATTCATTCGTTTAGGGGGATATTTATTTAGGGGGATAAGAGGATGGAAAAGCTCTGGGTTGGGATAACGGCAGAGAGATTGCTCAGCAATTACTGTCATGGGCAAAACTGATTTGACTTGGGGAAGATTAATGTAACTTACTGCCAATTAATAATAGTCCAGTAGGATGGTGAGAAAAAAAAGAGACAAAACTAAAAACATCTTCCCTGAACTCCTCCTTCATAGGTTCAACTTCACTCCATTCCTGACCCTTCTACCTCCTCCCCACTAAGGTGGCACAGGGAGGATGCAGAATGGGGGTTGTGGTCATTTCGTGATGCTTCATCCAGTGCTGTTTAATATCTTTGTCAGGCACACGGACAGCGGGTTCGGGTGCCCCCTTAGCAAGTCTGCTGACGACACCAAGCTGTGTGGTGCGGCCGACACA